TTCACTTCTTTTCGCTGTCGTTAGACTTGAAGGGATCTGTTATTTTTAAAATATGAAAAGCCTCTGTTATTATTATAGAAACAGTGGGTATCTTGTCTGGTATATTTATAAATTTGAGAATCCTGTTGGTTGCAGTTGTGATTCTTTTGAAGAAGTCGAGTTTATAAACTAGGTGATTCCATGTGAGGAAAAGAATATGTTGCATGCGTAAGAAAGACCGAATTTCATCCGAAGCTAACTGTTCATAAATATCTTGCCTACTTTTCTACTTGGTTTAATTTGAAATTATGTTCACGAATCGTTTGCTATATTTCCTGTGCCTGTCCTACAGAATATGTGGGTTAGACTCGAGTCTTTGGTGTTATGTCTTGGCATATGGTACTTTTCCTTGTGACTATCGTCTCCATTCGCTAGACTCTATGCTCACAATTCATATATTATTGTTACAACACTTTTTAATTGTAGGAAAGCAACGCAAGGTGGCAGAATATTACAAGAACCAAGAAAGGCTCCTTGAAGGATTCAATGAGATGGATACTATGAATGAAACGGGTTTCTTTCCCGGAAGTCTCACTGAGGTTGATTATCCTTTCACCCACCCTGACTTAAAATTTGGCAGATTTGCTGTATAAACAACACGAATGAAAGGGGTTCATCAGAAAAAAGAAAAACACGAATGAAAGGAACATAGAACCAGAAAACTATGTATGCATTGAATACAGCCACAGACTCTCAGTGAAATTTTTTGTCAAAAGGTCATAGATTATCTGAACAGCTGTTGATGTAAAATTCTTCGTAATCTTCAAACTAAGGCTTTGGTTTTCCTGCCGTGTCTTTCAGGATGAAATGAAGCAACTAGCAAAGAGGGAGAGAGTGGCAGTTCATGTGTCAAATTTTGCTAACTTGGTGTTATTTGCAGCAAAGGTCTATGCTTCAGTTATGAGCCAATCGTTAGCAGTCATTGCCTCAACACTAGACTCCCTCCTGGATCTCTTATCTGGGTTGATATTGTGGTTCACTTCCCATGCCATGAAAAACCCAAACCAATATCATTACCCAATTGGCAAGAAACGGATGCAACCAGTGGTAAGAAGTGAGTCCATAAGCTGATTCAGTCCAGCAGAGTTACTCAGTAAATTTAGCCAGGAGTAGAGTAGTTTCACAATGCTATTAGAGGGAGATTGAAAATTATATGCTATTAGAGCCTTATAAGGCCTATAGCAGATTCATACTGATCATGTTTCCGTATGCAGGGTATCATTGTTTTTGCATCTGTGATGGCAACCCTGGGACTGCAGATTTTGCTTGAGTCTGCCAGGAGACTTATTGCAGGGGTATTTGAGTTCAACTTTTGCGTCCCTTTAAATGAGATGAAACCATTTTATGGCTGGAACAGTTATTCTTGTTATGCCCTTTAGATCCATAGCTTTGTCGTATCTGGGCTTAAACATGGGTGTTATAAGCCCACTCTTCCATGCAACAACATATCTTCATGAAGAATGTCATTTTCTTTATATTGATGGTTTGTCAAATAGATACCAAACTGTTGGATCAAATCTTCCACGTTAATGTTCCTCAAAAGCATAGCAGCACAGAGGTCTCTGTTATTGATTTCCTGTAAACATTTTCAATACTATTTAATTTCTTTAATGATTCTTTTCTTACAGCACCAGTCAGACATGAATGCCAGAGAGCTGCATTGGATGATTGGGATTATGGCTACTGTGACGTTAGTGAAGTTCATTCTTATGGTCTACTGTAGAAGATTCAAAAACGAAATAGTCAGAGCCTATGCACAAGATCATTTCTTTGATGTTGTCACCAATTCAGTTGGTTTAGCTGCTGCTGTGCTTGCTGTCAAGTTCCGCTGGTGGATTGATCCAACAGGAGCTATCATTGTGAGTTTATAAATTACTAGCACTTTGCTCCCTTTTCTTTCCAAAGGGCAAAGACTCTAGTTTTCCTTATCTGATACACATATTGATCAGCTCATGATTATGCACCGTCCATAATGTCTTCAATCATCTACCCTGTATGATCTTGAAGCGAAGTTATCATCTATGAAGCACGAAATCATAAAAACAGGAGCCATATATCATATCTGATGCATGTTTGACAATTTCATCAAACAATGATCATAACACTTCAGATTTAATTAACCTTAAGTCAGTGTTCATATTTGTTTTGTGCATGTCATGTTGCCCATGAAGCCCCAATACATTAAAATGAGACGAGAGCCATATGATATCAGATGCTTAACACTTCAAATGGAACCCAAAAGTTAAGTGTCCAAGCAGTGTTATCTTGATTGCATGTTTCTTAGGTTGCTCTTGCAAGGCCAGTTTTTGACTGATGAACTAATGAAATTCACTGAAAATCTAATGGCAGATAGCATTATATACTATAAACACGTGGGCGAAGACTGTGATTGAGAATGTGTGGTCATTGATCGGAAGAACAGCGCCGCCGGATTATCTGACAAAACTGACCTATCTGATATGGAATCACCATGAGCAAATTAAGCACATAGACACAGTTAGAGCATACACTTTTGGTGCTCATTACTTTGTGGAAGTTGATATCGTCTTGCCAGAAGACATGCTTCTGAACGAAGCACACAATATTGGGGAGACACTTCAGGTGAAGCTTGAACAGCTTCCAGAAGTTGAGAGGGCTTTTGTGCACATAGATTTTGAATTCACTCACAGGCCCGAGCACAAGACCATGGTATGATGATGATGATTCTGCAGGAGATCTCTGCCTGGCTTTTGCTGCACTAGGGACTTCAATCTACTTCTTTTGTTTTTGTTTTTTTTTAAAAGCAAATGACTTTGAAGCTATGTTGCGAGTTCCCCTGTTGGCCATATTTTGGAGGGTTATGATGCAAGTAATTTCTTTGTCAAATCAAAGGATATGGGATTTAGGAGCGAAGACGATAACTAGAACGAACATTAAATTAAATCAGTATGACTGGTTGAAACTACTTCATTGAAGCACTACAGAAAAATTAGAGTATCAATGATAATATATAACTGAGTTTTCTTTAAGGAACGCGGCTTATATTAATGGGATAAATTAATGAACATATCAGAGTTATAAGGCCGAATCTAATTTTGCTTTGTTTACTTTCTCATCAGGAACAATAATTTCTATTATGACTAAATCTTCATTAATAAATTTTTATCGGGAACACTAATTAAAGAATTTCGATTATTTAATATTTTTAAAATAAAATTTTCAAATTTTTATTTCAACAAGTATTCTGGAATGGACACTCTATAATACCAGTGCAAGTTATGTATATCTTTGTGCATTGATTTTAGGATCTGCCCTTTCAAATTCATTTACCATCATTTATCCTCATTCCCTATTTTAGGATCAATTTTTGTGCATTGGTTTTTCAAAGCATCTTTTCTATTTCCGTATTCGTTTTTTTTATTTCGTTTCTGAGACAAATAATAGGATAGAATACACTAATAGAAGAACCTTTCAAGAAATTAATTATTTTTACCAGGATAATTAATTTTTAAAATAGGATTTTATAATACGAGAAACAGGGGTTGCGGTTTGTCTTTAATTGGGCTTCAAAAGCCCGAGGGGATTTGCTAGAGGCAGACCGAACAAGTCTCTTTTGGGCCAAAAATCGGCAAAAGTCTTTATTACTCACAAAAAAAAGAGTACTTAGGCTTTAAGAAAGTATTTATACAAACCAACTGAGTTGAGTCTAGCCGAAGAGACTAATTCCTCATAAAATAACAAATCAAGATTTAAATCTCCACTAGGAGAAGTGTCAACTTTTAGTGCCTAACAGTGTCTCGAACAGGATTGTCTCTAATAGAAAGATATCCACGCTTTAGCAAAAAAAAAAAAAGTATTTATATAACTGCCAAAAATCCTATAAACAAAGTCTTAAAAATGGACTTAGGTGCCTTAAATCATGAGCCGTGAGATTTCTCTCAGGTTTCATTGATTGTTAGGAAAACGAATAGAGTCTTTAAAGAACTTCTAAATTATCTTCTCAACTGTCCCTAAAGTTTTACTTAAATATAAAGTTGTGTGTTCAACTCTTTCCTTGGAAGGATGAAGGAAGATGCTGAAGGGAAGGGAATAAAGAAAAGGAATGTGCTGTGGTGGGCACACAGAGTGGAAAGAATATCCACATGAGAATCCTTGGACCCTCTCAAATCCGAGTCGGTTTGTATTATCATTGTCACTTCCTTCAGCTCTTATCCAAGGCACAAACCTCACGTCCAATCCAATAATGCACCAATCTTTTTATTATTTTTATTTTTTTGGCCATTCACCATCACAACCCCACTATTCATTTCCCCATCTCTTCTTTGATAGCTATTTTACATTATTTCATTCTATGTCCCTCCTGTTCTTCGCATTCTCATTATTTTGTCTGGTTGCTTCAACAGTTCCATCTTATCTTATCCTCTAATTATGTTGGCTTTAATGGCTAGTGATGGCTGAAGAAATGATTATACTTAAACAGGATTGGTCTCTTCAATTATGTTTGTCTCTTTCATGTTTTTTCATTTCCCTTTTCCTCTTCCATAGCCTATAACCAAAATTCAAATAATCTACGTATCAAATGCATGCCTTTTTGTATATCTTATCTTCGGTCATTAATATAAGAGTTGTTTAACTAATTTAAGTATATTAAAAAAATTTGTTATGTTAATTATTTGTAATAAATATAAGTTAAAATTTTTAAATATCAATTGTCCTTAAATAAAAACTCTCTTAATATGTATAATTAATAAGAATATTTTAGAGAATAAATTACAAATTCAGAAGGTAAAATAGATTAGTGTTTTATATTTAAGAGTTAAGACCAGATACAATTTTCAACTAATCCTGATATTAACAACCTGAGGTAGTATTATGATGTGCTTGATATTTGAACCGTTTTGTGTCTATCCCAAAATGTCTATTTTCCATCCACCACCAACTAATTTTGCTTTTTCCCTTGGGTTATACGGTGGTCATTTCCCTCCCGCCAAAGTTAGTTATACCTTTACTTACTCTGGAAAGATGAACAACATATTTTTTTGGGAATATAAATTGATTCTACTTTATTTTTTTTTTTTAACTATTTCGTTTATGCTATCTATTTTAATCTTGGGCGATTAACATTTTTTTCGGAATATATTATAATTAATCATTTTCTGAATTTTCTGCAATCTCATTTCAAGGTTATGTTAAGGGCGTCACAAATTTGAAAAGAACCACCTTGGTTTGTTTCCTGAGCTGGAAGAAGGCCATGGCTTTTCTTCTCCACAACCTCCCTGCTTCTCTCCTTCCCCATTCCACCAAATTCAAAGAGAAACCTCTTCACCAAACCCTTTCTCCTTCCAAACCCTCTTCTCTCTCTCCTCTTTCGTCAGTTTTGTCGTCTTCATTGACCACTCTCCAGAATCCCACTTCACAGGTTGCGCAGGTCGACACTCCTCCTCCTGCCCAAGACGAAAGTCATCAAAAACACGACTTCTTTCTCAATCTCGGCCTTGCTGTTCGTACCCTCCGTGAAGACCTGCCTTTGCTCTTCATCAAAGATCTCAATTTCGACATTTACAGGTCATTTTCTTTTCGCCTCCTTTCACTTCTTTGATACGTACCCAATTTTTACTTTATACTCTCAAGTACGGTTTTGTGTCAAGTTCATACTTTTTAGAGGCGATTAGATGGTTTTGTTCAATTTTTTATGGATAAAAAGGACTATGATGTTGAAATAGAGTCCAATTATATATGAGAGAACAATTGATAGTGGGTCATGCCAAGATGGGGTTTTAGTTTCCTTCTTTATTGGTGTTTTTGAAGCTTAGCTTTTTCTCAGAAAGGTGGAATTTTGATCATTTCAGGGATGATATAACATTCATGGACCCTCTGAACACATTTATTGGAATTGAGAAGTACAAATTGATATTCTGGGCATTGCGGTTTCATGGGAAAATGTTGTTCCGTGAGATTGCTCTTGATGTTTATCGGATATGGCAACCTTCAGAGAATGAGATTCTGATAAGGTGGAACTTGAGAGGAATCCCTAGAGTTCCCTGGGAATCCAAAGGGGAATTTCAAGGAACTTCACGGTATAAACTGGACAGAAATGGAAAAATTTATGAGCACAAAGTGGACAATCTAGCCTTCAATTTCCCAAGAACTGTCAAACCAGTTTCAGTTTTTGATCTGATTATTGCCTGCCCAGCAAGTCCAAATCCTACATTCTTAACAGCTCCTGTAGATGCCTACTCTTCTTGGATAGAGTTATACCGTGTAGTCAGAGAGACATTACATCACGAAGAGACTCTGCTACCACAAGATGGTCTAGCCACATGTTCATAGCTACTAACAATGAAGTATTGGTACTTCCAAAATGGAAGATACTATTTTTTTGGCTTTGTTTTGTGATGTTAATATCATGTAATGTGAGACTGGTGCTTGTTGAGCTGTTTCTCAGGCAATGTGTAGGATTCAAATCCTATTAGGTTAGATGTAGCTAAGTTGGTGAATGGCTAGCAGGTAAGGGTTTAGTTGAACGACTGGAGTGTATATAGTTGAGCAGGGAATGCTGATGGGTTCTAGCTGTTATAGATGACGTGTATTGTTCGTGTATATATAAAGATATGCCATAACCTGCGAAGTTCATATGAGTAACTGGAGATTAAGTATGTTGCAGAGTTCAATACTGTTGGTTTCTCATAAATATTGAGTTTCTGTTGAAGTTTCTTGTTAAACTGTGGGTTATAGTCACTTGACTTCAATGCCATCTTTTCTGGGTTTTCTCTTGCTCATTTGTATTTCTTTGCGTTAAGAACCTAATTCCTGACATTTGACTTGTCTTCTATACGGCAGGATCAAGTATGGTTTAGTTAATGTCTTTGACATTGATCAGAGGACAGACTGTTTTATTTGCCTTCATGGCAATACTTTATAATACTATTACCTCTCTGTTGTGTCCAATTGTAGCATGAAAGCAGATAATGGTAAATCTCTGAGTGCTTGAAAGCTTAGTTTTATAAATGATTAAACAGAACAGATTTTTCTGTCAGCCAAAAGCGGTAGAAAAGAAAGTTCCCATACAACAAAAGAAGAAAAATAAAATGAAAATGGCCCATGCAGGTCTCGAACCTGCGACCTTCGCGTTATTAGCACGACGCTCTAACCAACTGAGCTAATAGGCCATGTTGATGCACACGTTCAACCAATATAAATTAGTCCACAAAGAAAATAGAAGTTATTCAATCACATAACACTGCGGATTCCCCCCCCCCCCCCAAGAGACGAATGCCATTAGCTATGGATTGAGAAAGAAGGTAAACAAAACTATTGCAATCAGAAGAATCGTCTAGAAGGAAGGACAGAGAAACTCGACCAAAAACGTAGGCCTCATAACATCATCAACATATATAGACTGGCTAAGTATAAAGTATATGCGTATATGAGATAGTGCCTTCGGGCACCTAAACTTTTTTCTATCAAGAAAAGAGTAAAAATTTTCTGACTTCAGAATGTGTATTTGACTTAAATATATACAGGTATGATCAAAATCTGAGCAAGGATCAACTCATTGAAGAAATAAAATGGGAGAAGCCAAACATTCTGATTATAAACTAAATTGGGTTTTTCAAACTCTGCTCCTACTTTTTATGCATCTGATGATGATGCCTCTTCTAGTGCTGGGATTGCTACAGAAACAGGATGCATTCATCTCAGCTCAAGATCCTTTTAAATTTGCACTGGAAGCTCCAAGTATGGATGACTATTGTTCAGGCTTACCATAATAATTTTGTTTTGCATTTCCATCACAGAGCTGATCTTCAGTATATGATTTAGAATGGTCCTTGGACGAAGCAACATACTCCTTCATGGAATATGGATGATGAGCACAATGGCTGTCTTTGTCAAACGGGTATCATGCCTTTCACTGAAGTTTCCTGTGGGACTTGTCAGCCCAAGTTTAGTTGCCAGCATTTGTGTGTTTGTCAGCAATGCAAACCCCTATGTCAGAGTCCACTTCTTGTTGTTTAAGCTCAATGTTAGAGTCCCTGTCTGATGATGTACACTACTTTAAGGCAATTGTCCGATAAGTGATGATGACCAACTAGGGTTAATAAATCTAATAGAAGGGGCTAGTTCCTTACAACTTGGCGAATTAAAGTTTGAATTCCTATTTAGGAGAATGTTCACATTTAGTACAGGACAATGGTTCGAATAGGATTACCTCTAATAGAGGATTACATGTGCTTAAAAAGAAAAACAAGTGATGATGAAATTGGATAGGACCATCAGAAGAGGTTGTGGCTCTTCGGTTTCAAGTCAGCCTCAAGGGTCCTCAACCTTTTCTCCTACTCCCAACCACTATTCCTGTTCTGAACCACATGCTCATAGAAATCCATATAAAGCCAAATTTAATCTGTTCATGTGTTCATCTACCTTGCTAGCTAGGACCATCTTTGTACAACTCTCCTTTGGTTTTGGTTCCGAATAGTTTTCTTGCTTTCATGAGGGTCAGGCAAAATCCTCTAGTTCCGGCTTTCATCCATAATATGAAAGAAAACCAACGGTTGGAAGCCTCTTCTCTTCCTTTCCCATCCTCTTTCCTCCTCTTCTTTTTTCAAGCCGTTAGATTAACATATGTCAACGGTTTAGATTTCAATTTTTCATAAACTACTTATAAAATTTTTTAAAAAATATTTAGTACATTTGCAAATTATTAGAATTAAATTTTAATATAGTTTGTAATTTATTATTTATTTATTTTTATAATTTAATATTTGAATAATAGTTTTAAAAAAATTTAAATCTAGAGGTTAAAATATTAAGCGAATCATTAAAAAAAGAAGAGGAGGAAAGAGGATGGAAGGAGAAGAGGAGAGGTTCCGAACCGGAAATGCAAAAAGTCTATTCATTAATTCTAAGCATACTAATTAAATTTGTTGAATTTCTTTTAACGTACTCGTTCTTTTTTCATATGACCAATCACTTGTCAAGGAGTGATGTGTGTGTTCAAATGTAACATAAATATAGCGTATAAGGAGTTAATCGGCTGTCCAAGGTATAATTTTTGGGGTAAAGGCTTTATTTTAATCACATAGCGTTCATGAAAATTCTCTGGTACGAGTTGATATCATAGTATCTTGCTTTATTGACATTAGATAAGGACGTTGATAGCAATTAACTTAATAATTGTCACTCTAGAAAAGTATTAAACTGTATTTACTAAAGAATTGCCGTTGGTTTTGTTTATTTTTAATTTGGATGAAATCAGATATATGATGACAGCTTTGCAGTTACCTTTGTGTGTGTAGGATTTATAAATATACTAATTAATAGTAGTTGATGGGCTCAATAACTTTATTATGCACTTTTTATTTGAAGTTTCCACCATGGAAAAGATGATGAGATGAGATTGAGGACATAATATCGACATAGTTAGGTTAGGTTGAGGAAATGAAGGCACTTTAGGCTGCTAATTTGAGGTTAAGTTTGAATATATTAAGGTCATATGACAACATCCTGTCCTCATTTGCACAAAGTTGATAACTTTTCTGTGTGCAAGACATGTTTCTTCCACTGCCTCCTTCCCTCTTACCTTTTCTACTTTTCTTTCCCTCCGTTGCTTCATGAATCTCAGCATATTGCGCTCATCGATTGACTCACTCCCACATACATACACAGTAGGAGGCCCCAAAAAAAGGGAAAAGGAAGAAAGAAAATGTACATATGTTGACATATAGAAGAGTAGGTTTTTGATAAATGGATACGGAGAATCATGTAGTTGCAGATGAATCCCGGATTCTACCCATTTAAATCCATCAAGTGTTTAACAATGGGAAGGGAATCAATGCAAGAAACAAATAGGGCTTGGAGGGAATAGTAGGCTTTGGGCTCAACATCACTATTTTACATTGAGTTCACTGCAAATATATGACTAAACTGGCATGGACCGTTATACTTGTAGAAAGATATAAGATTTAGGAAAAAAATGTATACAATTTGAATCAATAAAGTATTTGTCCAAACTAAAAGTTTAAATTAGTAATCATATCATAAATAGTAAAATAGCAATGTCATTGCATTCAATTTTCTTATGCTACATTGATATTGATGGTTGTAGAACAAAGTTATAAAGCCAGTCAATTTGCTCATTATAGGCCACATCCTTAAGGCATCATGAGTTAAAAGAGCAAATCTTTTTTTACTGACTAGTTAGATACGTTGAAAACTAAATCAGATTCATTAGATAGGTTAAGTGGATCTGTCTGTTTAACATGTCAAAATAAATAATCAATTATGAATTGACGCTAAATTTAGTAGTGCCATAGCCACTTTGGTAGGAGATTGAAAGTGAAAACTAAAATTTTGATGAACAATAATAGGAAATCAATGAAGAAAAACTCAAATTAAAATTTAAATGAGTAGCGGGTCAAATGAGTCATACTAAAATGTTACAAGTAAATAGTCAATTATTTATAGTAGTACATTGAAGTTAAACATGTTAAACACTACTTTTACCTTAATTAGACAACTTTAATAGAGATCAAAGTTCAATTTAAAGAAACTCCTTAATAATTGACTTGCTTTGACAGCTTTAATCTATGAAGAGTTCCAAATTTCCCAATGGTTTCATTAACTCTAAGAAATTCCTCTATTAGACTATTAATTACTCTATATTAATTACTTAAATTGCTGTCAACTATTATGACACATCAATGCATATAGGTCCTTAATTAAAAGAGAAAGATTTAGGCAATGAACTAAGTTTAGGTTATGATTATGAAGTGGTACTCATCACTATTATTCTTAATACTTAGTGTTCAAAGGCTTTAAACATTCTTCAACACATCACATGCCGTCCTCAGTACCGTTCAACAATTTTTAATTAATGAATCCGTATGTGTATCTCACCTTTTACCTTAATTTCAGTGGTTGTCCTTCGCTGCATAAGATTCTCACACCCTATTAGCCTTTCGTCCGGCCTTTGTTAAATATTTTATATATTATTTTTATTCTTCTTCTTCCTTTTGTTTTCTCTCACTAACCATTGGTTAATAATGAGCATGGGATGCTATGAAATATAAAAATTTATATTCATATTTGATCCTATTAAAAAATTGTACTCCTCCTGTTCTTAATATAGGAACTAATTGTAGAGTAGATTTTAATCCTAAATATAAGGCCTATTTATTATATTTATCAGTTTTTTCTAAATTACTTTTATGGATACTCCTTCAACGATAATCAAGTAGAAGAGGGAGAGAGGATATTAAGGAGGATGATTATGATGTTTTAAAAAAAACATGTCATATTTCTTATAATTAACTAATTTACCTAATTTTTTTAATATAATCAAATTAATTAAATAGGTCTTATATTAAAAACCGGAATATTTATTAGTATTATATAAGATTCATTTTATCGTGTGTCTCAAGAGGAACAGAACATAACATAAAAAAATAATATTATATACAGGTATTTTAATATTACAATATCTTTATATTTATATCGTTAGTAGTGTACATAACATTCTGTCTTCGTAGAAAATAAAATACATATAATTCATAGTTTTTTTTTTCAAATTAATCAAATTTAACGCACACCCATATATGATCGAACTCTAGATCCCAGCCAAGTGGATCGGTTGATTACTTGAATACCTAGTAATAGAATCAAAG